TTAGCAGGTTTCCAGCTTGTTTTGTTCTGGTGTGTGATTTGTTTTAATATAAATGTTAGTTTGGTTATGGTCAGAAAGTGGAGTTTGCTGTTTGACAGTGAATGCACTGAAGGAGGACGGGTCCATGTCAGTGATGGCATAGTCAACTACACTAGCTCCAAGACCTGAACAACACGTGAACCTCCCTAAAGAGTCCCCTCTGATCCTGCCATTAAGTATGTACAGGCCTAGAGCTCGGCAGAGCTGCACTAACTCTGAACCATTTTTATTTACAGTTTGGTCAAGGTTATTTCTCGGTGGAAGTTTTCTTGTGAGACTCGGGGAGTTTTGGCCAAATATATATTCATTGCCCTTTGGATCTATGTTATCGGGTTCAGATCCAGTTCTTGCATTAAAGTCTCCACACAGCAGCACATTTCCCTGGGCCTGGAAACGGCTGATCTCTGTGTGGATGTTGTTCAGGTATTCCTCATCATGGTAAGGGGATTCTGCTGGGGGAATATAGATGACACAGAGATATATGGCAGTAGTTGAAATGCCACTTTGGTTGTTTAGTTTTAACCAGCAGTAAAATTTTCCAAATGTAATAATAGAAATGTGTTTGGCCAGAGCTTCCCTGTACCACACCAGAATTCCTCCTGAGTCTCGTCCACGATGCACTGTACTTAATTTAACTGAGGGCACAATTACTTCATAGTAGCCTGAGGGACAGTAGGTAAGCGCATCATTTCTACACCAGGTCTCGGTGAGAATGATCATATCAGCATCTTTGATATTTTTAAGAAATTCTGGGTAGAATGATAATATCAGCATCTTTGGTATTTTTCAGAAATTCTGGGTCTGTGCTTTTAGTACCCAAAGTTGAAGAATGAAGACTCTGAATATTCCAACAATTTATATGAAATGAACGCATTAGTATTATTAAAGATAATCCTATTTTGTAAGACAGAGAGAAAATAACTTGTGAGAATGTACAGTATATGGTAAACAATTTACAATAGTGTATTTTTATTTATTTTTTTGTTAATCTTAGCGCACTGTGTTTGTGCATATTGTCCTTATCTGTTCAGGAGCTGGTTGCACAGTGTCTGCAGCATCTCTCTGATCTGGCTCAGTTCGCTGGCAGGTGTGGAGGTGCTGGGTGCAGCAGGGGGCCGGGCTGCAGCTTCAGCATAGCTCTGTGCTCTCAGCGGTGGGGGTTTCTCTTGGTGTGGGGAGGTTTTTGGTTTCATCTTTCTTATGGAGCAGCAGAATGTGAAGTTGGTGATTGCAGGTTTACAGGTGTGTAGGTGGGGTTTGTTGGGCAGCAGGTGGATGTGAAGATGGTGACTGCTTGTTTACAGATGCGTAGGGAGCCATTGGTGGGTGTGGGGGATGACGTGTGACGTTTGTCCAGGCGATGTCTTTCCTCACCGGGACCGGAGGGGGATGTCTGGGCATGTAGGGGTGAATGTGCCGGTGGTATTCTGGAGTTGGTAGCAAGTGTCTCGGTGATGCTGGACTGCGGCCCAGGGCTGCATCCTTTAGGGTCTTTGCAAAAATACGCACTCCGTCTTTGTGTAGGTGGAGTCCATCATACAGGTGTTGGAGGCCGATGTGGTGGTGGTGGGCCAGGTGTACATTGGGGAGCGCAGAACAGCCATGGGAAATTTCAGCATTGATGCTGTAGATGATGTGTGGGGGTGTGTCTTGTCTTGGGAGAAGCGTGGAGATTATGATTCGGGATTCTGGGAACTTTTTGCTGGTGATTTCTGCCATTTTCCTGACAGCATCAGCAGTATTGTTGCGTAGCGAGTGAAGGTCGGTAGTCCCAGTGTGAATGATAATAGATGAGGGGTGTCCTGTGACGTCTCTGATGATCTGGTGGGCATGGCCTGTTGTGCTACATCGTTTTGCAGTGACTTTTTGGTGCGGGAAGAGTTTCTGAGGGTCCACAAACTTTCCATTAGAGTCCATGAGGAGGAGAACATCTGGATCAGGTTCTGGAGGCTGGGCGGGTGAGGCCTGTGTTGCTGCAGTTGTCTGTGTGTTTGTCGTAGGTACACTTTCTGTGTTTGTGTAGTTTGGTTTTTCTGTAGTAGGAGCTGTATTGTAGTGAAGTGTGTTGTCTTTTGTGTTTTTCTGTAACTGTTCTCTCATTTCTTGCAGCCGTCTGAAGAAGTTATCTTCTTTTTTCTCTGTGTCCTCCTCTAGTTTGCATAGCTGTAAGCAGAGAGTTCGATTTTCTTCTTGCAGTTCTCTGAGAGCTCTTGTGAGTTCAGTGATGGAGGAGCTGGTGTTGTTCTTCAGCTGCTGGAGTTCATCTTTGAGCTCCTGGATGTAAATGTTTGTGTTAGTGTCTGAGAGTTTTGCTTGAGTGTGTTCTCTGAATTCAGTAAAGTCCAGTTCTAGTAGGGCTAGTCTGTCTCTCAGTTGACGCTCAGATGGTGAAGGTGGAGGATTCACTGGGCCTTCCTCCTCAGAGTCTGTGCAGTAAACATGAGTCTCGTCTCTCTTCTTCTCTACTCTGGATTTCAGCAGGGGGAAAATCTCCTCAAATGAGTTCAGGCTTGCTTCATTGCCTTGCAGTAGGAAGGTGCCTTTAGTGTAGTAGGTTATAGTGAGAATGGGGTTGTCTGTGTCTAGCATTTCATCTTCACAAATAGTTAGTCTTCCACCTCGGCCTATTCCTTCTTTAAACACATGCTTGTATTCCTCACAGATGGCCAGTTTCCAAGCACTAATCATAGTGGTGTAGAAAATGAAGTTGTTCTTGATTCTTTTCGGAGATGAATCACAGCCCACAGATGTTGTAATTGCGTATCTTACCCAAAATATTCTTCTGAAATATTAATAACAAATATATTTCTGCCTCACACTGGCTCGCAGTCAGAAGTTATGGCAAACGTTCAGCGGTGATTGATGATGTTTAAGTAAAAGTGTTGTATTCTCATTGTGTAGCTTGAAACTAAGTGTAGTTATAATTTATCTGTTATCAATATACAATTATATTTCATGATGTATTTTATCAGAAGAAGTCGCATAACTTCATGAGAAAATGTTTTGTTTTATAAAAGTTTTTTTTAATTCTAGTAATATAATTGATGAGGATCAGAGGGATGTGAAGCCATGTATTACCAGAGTAAAGTAATGCCACAGCTACACATCAGTGTTCAGGTCATCTTCTCTCCTCACACAATCAGTGTAATGCAATATTTCCACCCGCTGAATGTAAGCTTTCCATATTCCACGCTCGCCTGCTGCTCTGGTCACTTCAAGTGTTCATGAGTCCTGAAAATTATGAAATAAACCCAGGCATTATTGGATTGCTGGACTTCAAATCAGCAGTTCTGGTGCTGCAGCAGTGCACACAGGCCGTGAGGACATATGGTAGCGTGCAGACATTCTCTCGTTAGCCTATCGGAAAAGCAAGCCACGGCGTGAAACCATTACTTTCGAATATTTTTACTAACACCTGAGCCTCCGTTACATTAATGTGAGCTCTGACAGAGGAATGCGCCGTATGCAGAGCAGAAGAGAGCGCGTGAATCTGAATTACTCGCATGACCGGTGTTCTGGCGATGTGTGCTGCCCTCAGATTGTGCTTCCAGCATGATATTAATAAAGTGTGAGGCTTTATTAACATGTACACCTACACTTACCGTAGGATCAATACAGTGTTGGTAGCAGAATCTGATAGGTAGCATTATTTGTCAGAACACCGGCTTTCCCCAAACTATTTTATTGATAAAGTCTTTGTGTGTGTGTAAGAGAGAGAACAAGCTGTCCAACAATTAATGCCACGGATCCCCAAATATAATGCCTTAGTCACTGTAGTTTTGTCTGCTAACTTAGCTGAGTATTAAACTGCTAGCAACTGTTGGGCTATCAGGAGCACCCCGTTATTAGCATGTCAGAATACTGTATGCTAAAGGACATCGTACTGTAAAGTTACATTAATACATGTAGCAGACAGATATTCACATGGATTTATAGTTTAGGTAAGGAGGGAGCGCAGACAGCAACACAAAAATATGAGTCAATGCAATAGTGTGTTCAGTAGGCTTTTAGGATTTTTCAATAAAGGTATTGCACTAATTTTTATAAATAGGCACTTTAAACACAAATTTGTTTTAATATATTTGTATGAAATATAGGTTTGTTACATCTTGGGTATTTAAGTCATTTTAAGATAAATAACATCATTGTGTGCAAACAAATTAAAACGAGGTGGTTGTTTTGCATCTAGGTGGACACAGTTCTGTTCATAACCGTAGACCTGCTGGTGAAGAAGTGACAGGTACAAGAAAAACACACACATATACACAAGGGATGGACAGAGATATTGGGGGAAATGAAGAAACGGAAAATGGAAGTGAAGGTGCAGTTCAAGAATGGGGTAATATTGCTGGGTAATAGTAAACCACTTTTTTCTTTAGGACTACACCACTGATATTAACAGTAACATTATTACCAAAATCTTAGGTAACACTTTATTTTAAGGTGTCCTTGTTACACGTTACATGTAGTTACCATTATAAGGACAATAAATTATGCATAATTACATGCAAGTAACACTAAGCCAAACCCTAATCCTTACCCTAACCATACAGTAAGCACATGTAGTTAATTAATATTAAATATATAATTGCACACTGTAACAAGCCAAGGGCATTTTAAAGGGGTCATATGATGCGATTTTAATTGTTCCTTTCTCTTTGGAGTGTTACAAGCTCTTGGTGCATAAAGAAGATCTGTAAAGTTGCAAAGACTAAAGTCAACAAATTGCATTACACCAAATACACAAAACAATGTTCCTTTTTTTAGCAACGTCATATGACCCCTTTAAGATAAAGTGTAACCAAATCTTATTTGTAATTAGTTACACTACTAGTAATATTATTACTGTAACTAGCTACCAACCCAAAATTGACTACAACTATAAGATATCCTTCCTGTGTGTGACGCTCAGAAGCGCGTGAGCCGCTACGCAGCGTGCGTCGTGACGCCGGATGGGCGGGGCCTCTTACGTCAGCGCGTGATATCGTTCCGCGGGCGGGAGTTCGGCGCGGCCTTTTCCTCGCGACAGCGGCTGATGAGAAGCAGCACCGCGGGAACGGCTCGGCTTCGGTATTAGGCGCGGACGCGACTCTGACTCGACTCTCCCGTCAGGATGGAGCTGATCACAATCCTCGAGAAAACCGTGTCTCCAGGTCAGTCCCGCGCGCGTGGGGTCCAGATCGCGTTAGCGGGCGGCTAGTGCCGCGCAGGCCCCGCGACACGCCTCGCACGCTGCGCGAACAGCTGCATGAACACACAAACATAGCGTTGAACGCTTCAGACTGTCGACGCGCGCATCAGGCGTCAGAGCGGCATCGCGTTCGAAAGCGAGCGTTTGCCGGCCTGCGCGGCGACAAGTCCCTGACGCGCACAGATAATGTGATTATGCGCCTGCTTCTGATAACATCAAGCTCTTCGCCAGGCGTCCGCGCGTGTGGTTTGTCCGCTCGAGCTGCCGAAGTTATTAGCAGGTTAGCATGCTAGGCAGGAAGTGGCTAGGCGTTAGCATGGCTAGCGCTCAGTCATGCCCTGCGATCCGCTTCAGAAAGTTTCAGAGTTGAGGGTTGCGCTCGCTTATGGGGCTGTCGTTGGCGCTGTGACGCGCGTGAGGCGCAGGGGTTCACGAGAAGCGGCGCGATGATCGCGGGGCTCCCGAGGCGCGCGAGTCTGCGGGCCGCGTTTGGCGGGAGTCTGGCGCGCCTCAGAAATGTTGGTTCACGGCTGTGATTGCTTTTCAGATCGGAATGAGCTGGAGGCGGCGCAGAAGTTTCTGGAGCAGGCGGCCATCGAGAACCTGGTGAGCAAACCACTCCACGCTCCTCAGTCTGCTGTGACTGACCTTTGACCTCTACTCTCATCCTCAGTGCCCGGATCGACCCTCTAACGGAATGACTAGCTCCCTCAGTCAGAGCTGTAGAAAAGGCAGATTTGGCAAACTCTCTGGAGATCGATTTCTGTGTCTCTGCAGCGTTGAGCAGTGTAGCTAATCACAGTGATATCTGTTGATTTCTTCAGTCCCAGGCGTTTAAGTTAGAATCCTCTCACCGCTCAAATCGCTGGAGCTTTTGTTCAGGTTCAGCACGAATCAAAGTGTAGCCGTGATGTAAATAAGAGCTCTGTTGTGCAGCGTAGAGAACTTTATTGATAGTAACGTATCTTTGTGAGATCGCGATGAACTAAGATAAGATGAGTGACAGCTTTTTAGTGATTATGAACGGAGCGCTCTTTGCGCCATAGCAACGGACGCCATATATACATATATATATTAGTTATTGCACCCTCACTAATGTAAGAGGCCCCTCAGTTGATTTGATTCTGGAGGCGGGCCCGGTGCCGTCCATTGCTGTGGCACAAAAAGCGCTCCATTTGTAATCACTAAAAACTCACTCATCTTAGTTCATCACGATCTCACAAAGTGACGTTATAATCAATGAAGTTCTCTACGCCGCACAATGAATCTCTTACTACACTGTTATAATGAATAAAAACTGATCATTGAGCGGTGAGTGGATTCTAGTGTAAATACCTCTGATTGGCTGTTGCCTCCAAGATAACCAGCAGATATGTCTGTGATTGGCTACGCTGCTCAACGCTGCAGAAACAGGTTGAAATAGAAACCGATCTCGAGCGCAAACCACAGCACACTACTGGACAGTTGGCCAAATCTGCAGTGTAGTGCCAGTAATACAGCTTGAGGGTGCTGTTGATGTTGTAAGCGGGCCTGTGTCTGCTTCGACTGTCCTTCACTGCGCTGGGTGAGGCTCTGGCGGCTGCGCTGGGACACATCTGAATGCTAGCCAGGCGCTTTCACTCCGTTTGCATGCTGCACCTGTTTCTAGTTTTGCGGAGGTGCTCGCAGCAGCTCTGTGGCTCGATTAAATCCGCTGTCTGTCTTGGTTTCAGCCGACGTTCCTGGTGGAGCTGTCCAAGGTGTTGGCTAACCCCGGGAACACGCAGGTGGCGCGAGTGGCCGCCGGGCTGCAGGTCAAGAACTCGCTGACCTCCAAGGACCCGGATGTGAAGACGCAGCACCAGCAGAGATGGCTGGCCATCGACGCCAGCGCCCGCAGAGAGATCAAAAACTACGTAAGCACACCCTTGTGTCCGTGTGTGTGCCAGGTCTGTGTGTGCTGTGCCGAGGTTCGTCTGGTGGGTCATTCATACTGAGAGACCTGACCTCAGACCAGCATCAGGGCTGCTGCGCCGTTCAGAGGTCAAAGCCAGTGATTAAGAGCTAAAACACGTTCATGCTGTATATCTATTCTAGACTGAAATACTCAGGGTTTCAGTTAGATCCAGTTAATAAACACATAATCATTGAATATTAGCCGCATTAAAATTGGTAAATATTCCAATGTAATGTAACTGCTTATAGTAAGCAAAATGTTTTGTTTTAATCTGACTTCTTAAGCCACTTTTGTAAATGAAAACACGAATTTATTTTAGTGCTGTCAAACAATTAATCGCATCCAAAATAAACGTTTTTGTTTACATAATGTGTGTGTACGGTGTATATTTATGTATATATAAATACACATACATGCATGTGTATATACTTGAGAATATTTGAGTTTATATTAAATATATTTATATATAATATGAATTATATGAATATAAATGTATATACATGTAAATATTTTGAATATATATATTGTATGTGTGTGTATTTGTATATACATAATAAATATACACAGTACTACACACATATATTATGTAAACAAAAACTTTTTGTTTATTGTTTAAATTTTGTTTATTTGTTTAAACAAAAACTTATTTTGGATGCGATTAATCGTGAATAATCACGATTAATCGTTTGACAGCACTAGACAGTCTGATCATGAACAACATCCAGCGTGGATGAAAATAAGATGTCGCTCCAGTTTAACAAAGACTCTGTTTTCTTGCTGCTAAAAATTCTCAAGAATTCACAGAAACAAATACACATGGATTTATGATTCCTTCACTCCTATTGATAGCTGCTGTTTCATTTACACAAAGACTCTTGATGACATCACTGACCACCGCTGTCACTCATCTGTGTGTGTTTTTGTCTTGTTTTCCAGTACAGATATCCAGACATCTCTAAAAATAGTGCAAGGAAAAAATGCATAAGAAAAAAAAAGACTTTTTACTATCCAGTGTGTACAGTGATCTAATACACATCCCTCAGAAGTTGTGTGTGTGTGTGTGTATGTGTGTGTATTTGTATATACATAATAAATATACACAGCACACGCACATTATGTAAACAAACTTTATTTTGGATGCAATTAATCACTATTAATCGTTTGACAGCACTAGTTTATTTACATGCGCTGCATTTACTCCAGTTATGTATTGAGAATTAATTAAAACCGTTAGACTTTACAGGTTACTGTGATTTATAAACCGGAGAGTTCCGGTGCTTGATTCTGATTGGCTGAGCTGCGTTCGAAGCTGTTGTAAATTACTCTACA